AGTGACTTTCCAAGAGGGAGCCTTTCCCCTGGACGGAAGGAATTGTCAAGCTGTAGGAAGAGGTGTGACATGTGGGACGTCATTTACAGGGGACGTGAAGCTGAGAGCTATTCCCTCCGTAGATAAGAATGGCCAGGGATTTTAGCACTTTCAAAACAGATCTAAACATATCCCTGCTGAAAGCCTTGCAAAGATGCCAATCTTTTTGATGGAACAGGAATCTCAAGGGGATGTTCGCTTTGCATTCCTCCCTCTGAAGCTCCTGTCCGTGATTGGAATAGCAGGCCATATGGAAAAGAGAGTATGTACTCTTGTGCGTATGCAAAGCATGTGTGTTGGCCTGGGAAAAGATGCACTTAAATTTGAAATAAGATAGGGCAGCAGCAGCATCATGCAGTCTGTGTAGAAAGCTCTACACATTGGTTTTGCAGAAACAGCATGGAAATTGCAAGGTAGAAGGAGTTCTTGCTGTACCAAAAATCAAAAAAAGCCCCATCTAACCAGTCACATTTGGGAATTCTGAGGTTAGGCTTGGATCAGCTGTTGGAGAGGTTGGAGGCCTGGATCTCTAGTGGGCTGAGCAGCACAGCAGCAAAATCAAAGGAGACGATATGGAGATAAAAGGAGAGGGAGGAAAGAGGGACCTCTCTGGATTCCTTTGAGGCAGCAGTTTGCTCCGTATGGAGGTGCAGGCAGAGAAACCCATGTAAGGCAGATCTGGGAGACACAGAAGGGGTTAAGTAGGAGAGTCAGCTTTTTTTCCCCTAAGTGATGTTTTTTAAAGTTACTTATTTATCTTGGATACCATTGTCATCACTCAGTCTCTTCACTTCAGCTTTCTTAGCAGCATAATCAGCAGTTCTGCAGCTGGTTATTAGTGGGAGGATGATTGCAAATAATGATCAATGGACTGCAGCTTTCAGATGTTCTTGTTTCCCCCTGTTCCCCTTAATATCTGGCTTCCTGTTTCCTCAGTGTAGTAATATGATGCTGTAGCTTTTGGTTTACTGATGACCATGCCCGGTACTGCATATCTTGGGGAAAAATGCAGGAGAAAAAAAAAAAAAAGTCCCATGGCTGTGCTACATTAAATCTCTTTCCACAAGGAGGCTAGGTTAGGTGTGTGGCTTGGCTCTTTTTGGCTCAAGCACGTTTTGTTGGAAGGAGACTGTACTGCAGTACAGTCACATGCCATGGAACTGCTGCGAGGTGGCTTTGAGCCCTTGAGTAAATGCAACATGATGGTTTAAAAGCCAGGATGAAATTCCTGAGCTCCCTTTGAAGTCAATGGAAAACTTGTCACTGTCTGCCAAAGGTCAGGATTTGGGTCTGTGCTGGTCACAGCTAAACAAGAACTTTCAGCTATGCTGACAACTCTGACATCAGTATTAGTGATGGAGACTGGAACTAAAGAAAGGACTTTGTCAGGCAACTGACTGCATGTCATAGCAACGGGACAGCAAGCGCTTAATGTGTAAACCATTTATTTATTTATTTTACCAAAGGCTACTTTTATGCAAAACCTTACTAACTTGGGTGCCTGGGTATTCTTAATGATCAAGAAAAACAGGTTTTAGAAAAAGCTATATTTGTTTTTTCCTCTGTTAACTGTCTTCTGCTTTCTTTTTTCCTAATAGAAATTAAAATGAGAATTTAAAGCAACATATATTTGAGATGAATTTCAGATGTGCTTTCTTTTACCAGATACTGAATTGTTTCCCTTCACAGAAAATTGTTAATAAAGTGCTGCCTTTTATTGTGTGTCTGTAGTGGAATTTTAATGCATCAAGCATGCTCTGTGTGTGTGCGTGTGTGTGTTTGTGTGTATGCGTAAGTAAATAGTGAGTACAGATGTTTTAAAGTGTACCTCCTCACGTGGAAGTTTTTAAATTTTGCAGACGATATCAGAAATTGCAGAAGATAATGAAGCCCTGGTAAGAACCTGATTGGATCATTACCTTGTACGCTTTCCTCTTCTTTTTGCATGACTGACTTCAGGTCCCTTGCACTAATCTTTTAGTATAAATACATTTGTGCTTATTCATTCAGCCAAACTTCAAACTCTCGTTTCCTGCTCTTTGATACCTGTTAAAAATTTCTAATGGAGCCTTTTCTGCTTTGCTTGTGGAATGTGTGCTTCCGTTCTGTAGCTGCTGCAGTGGCTTCTAATTTTTCCTAACTAGGACTTTTTACCAATTTGAGCAAGCAAATCATTTCCCTGCCTTCCCCAGCTCCCCTCTCCTTAAATCTCTCTTGGCTTACGTGATTGATTGTGGGCAGTTTTAACTGTTGATGTTAGTGGCGTAACAGTAAGAGTCATTGTGCCAGTTTGAATTCTTACTATTTGCTGCTCCCAAGTAATGCTAATTGTTTTTGATAAGTGCATAAAGGAAGACTGCAATGTAGTGGCACAAAGTTTTGAGGCATGCTTATTGCCCTGATGGGTTTGAATGGGGCTCTTCTGTGCGCCTGAAGTCAAGCATACGCTCCGTAGGCTTTGCTAAATCGAGACCCCAAGATGCATTCTCATCTCTTGATTGGCTTGCAAATTTGAGATGTCAAGTATAGCTAAAAACCAAAGGGGCAAAAGAATAATTAATCAATTAACTGTGCATCTGTCACTCCCAGAGCTTGGTGTGATTTAGCATGCAGGAAGCGCAGCTCCTCATCTCATCACATGCTGAATCTTGCTTTCACAAAGCTGCTCTAAACAAAGCTTGGAAACATGTATCATTGAATTATTGCCCAGTAGATAAAATAATACAGTAAGAATAAATTTGGCAGGAAGATTCAATCCTTCCTCTCTATTCCCTTTCTCCACCTAACACAAATCAAACGGCTTCTTAATAGAGAATTTTAGATCTTGAGCAAGATATTTAAAATGTCATGAAGCTTTACGAATCCTTGGCAGCATCACCCCTGCCAATTCGTCTCCTGTGAATTTAAAATGCCCACCCCTCACTGTTATGAGAATATGTGCTGCTGCATTTGTGGAAGAGCACTTCAACTCTCTCCATTGTGCTCCGCTCTGTTTCCAAATTCTTTCCTCCCTTAGGCCTCTCCACATTAAATTATGTGATTAGCCTCTGAACAGTTCAAGAGGGGACTGAGGAACTGACTTACACTTGCACTGTACCCTGGCTTTGGGAGCTGGTAGTACTGATCTGGATTCATTTTTTTGCACAGTTGTCCTGCTTACTCATGGAAGCAAGACGTTTAAGAGGATTCTTATAAATAGATATAGATACAAAGTATCTTGGACACAGTGGAATAGAAAGTGTTCATGACCAAAGTTTACTCTAACATTTCATGTTAAACTCTACCTCTATAAGCTTCAGTGTGCAGGAGAGCACACACTTAACGTAATGATTTCCATTGGTAGCAGATGAAATGATACAGTTACAGGAACAGACATTCTTGAGTTTGGTGCTTGTACCCAGGGATGCTACAGCCGTTTGTCTGGGCACGAAACCAATAGTATTAGGGCCAGTTCTGTTCCTTCATTTTGAAGGTGAAGTAGATAAGTTCCTGCTGTATGACTGTAGTTACCTAACATCCTGACTATTTTTCGTAAGTTATGTTTAACCAGTGCATTAATAGGAGGAGGCCCAATGAAATGGGAACTGCAAAAATAAATTTGCAATTAGATATAACAAAAAAGACTTTAAAAATTAATATGGCAAATCTCTTGACTTGTGCAGCCTCTGCTTCCTGTGTTCATGACTTGTTCCTTTAGACAAACCAAATGCTGATTGAAAAAAATCTCTTTAGATTTACAGAATGGAATATTATTTCCTAATGTGCTAATGCTTAATTTTATCGCTGGTAGCTTGCATATGCTAACCTGGAGAAGCTATGTCAGTTAAAAGCTGGCTTTTACAGAGAAAGCTTGTCTAAAACTTTCTCAGATAAAGGGATTTTTTTTTCCTAAAATGTGAGTTTCTTTTTCCATATGTCTTTTCAGTTTTATTGGTTCCCATTTTATTTTCAAAACACATCGGCTAACCCTTGGATTCAAACACATCGGCTAACCCTTGGATTTTCCGCGAAACGGCTCTATCAACTGACCTTTGCATTGCAATACTGAATTGTAGTCTAACTACAGTGATTTGAGAGTGTGTTTGGGTTTTTCCTAGTCTTTTTAAAGGCTTGTCTATTCAGGAAAATTGCCACAAAGTAATCAAAAGTATGAATTTAAAGAATGGGAGAAAGAGAGAACAAATAATTGTCATCCCATCTTCATGAGAAATGGGTGCATAATAGATCCTTTGGGCTGCTTCCCCTTACAGACAAATGCTTAACATAACCTCCATGTGGATTATCATGCTCCATAATAAGAGTCTCGGCACCTTGGTTTATTGAAGAATAACTGCTGCACTGTTATAAATTCATGGCCTGTTTTACCTGGAATTAATTTTCAAGCACAGAAAGCCTGGATACAGCGATACCAGAGCTGTTTTGGTCCTTGGAATGCCAGTGGTTCAAGCTCAGTCGTGCTGATCTCCTGTAAGGGACTCGGTGAGACTGAGTCGCAAAGGCATCGGTCAGTGGTGCTTGGCAGGATGCAAAAAATCATCCGTGTCAGCTGCAGTGTGGCAGTTAAATGCATTTGCTGCAATCACCCAGAAGAACAGAGGCAGCCACCCTGCAGGTTGTTCAGGCACTTTCAGCGGTGCAGAATAAGTACTGAGCAGGTTCCACTTGCTCCTTGTCTGGTTTGACGGTGCCTTACCCTCACCCTTAGCAGGGTTGCAGGAAAAAGGAGGCAATGTCGAAGCAGCAAAGAAGTCACAGCAATAAAAGAGGTACCGGCCGCTGTTTGCGCTTGCAAAGCATCCGTCATCATCCGACTTCCTCGCAGGCATCGCGAGGTTCTTGCCCTCCCTGCTCTTCCAGAGCTCTCGTCCTCCGGGATATATGCTGCTCCCCTGCTCGCCGTTATCCATGGCTGTTTACCCTTGTGCCAACTGCGTTTCTAACTTAGGAAGCTGGTTTTACTCTTTGCTGTTAATGGGAATTTTGTCAGGCCCGTTTAACTGCCTAGTGTTGGGCAGCAGGCACAGTTGCTGAATGACGGGGGGCTGGAAGTTAACTGCTTCCTTGGCTCCTGCATTGAGTGGGGGGCTGCAGCGCTCTCGTTGCCTTCTCCCGGGTTAGAGTTGTTTCTTTGCTTCCTTCCCTCTGCACAACCAGAGATTGGGAGCCTTGGGTCCGTTTGGCCTCTGTGAGATGGTCCGTGTGAGGATGTTTTCCTTCTGGCAGCTGGTCCTAGCGACCGGGTAGCTGTATGGTGGCCATGGGAGATGAGCAAGAGTTAATTTCCAGTTTCTCTCTCTTCAACTTTTATCAGGAATAACCTAAAACAATACAAGGCCACCAAGCTTTGAAACACTCCTATTGCTGCTTTTGTGACCTAATGGCAGCTGAGCCTGAGTAATTTGCTGGGTTTAAAGAATCATTTGAACAGCTTAATCTTTTTGTGTTGTTATACCTCAGCAGCAGTAGTGTTCAGTTCAGTATGTGTATAAACATGGTTTGAGATTTTTTTAAAGAAATTTCTAGGGGATTTGGATGCTCAAGTCCCATTAATTTTAATTTATTTTGATAAGAAAGCCAAATTGCTTTAGGCATCCTTCAAAATATCAGCGCAGTTCTTTACATGCATCTGGAGGATTAGCTAGCACACAGGATGAAAAGAACTTTTCTACACATAGAAAAAATACTATGAAGGCAGGTAAGGGACAGATATGTTGTTCAAGATCACATGCATATTCACTTTTATTTTTAGAGAAATAAAAAGTAATACCAAAATATGTAGGGTTTTTTTTTCCTAGTTTTCTAAGGTAAGAACGCAGTAAATTCTGAGGAACATAAGCTGACAGGCTTTGACTTGATCTTTCCATAAAATTGGAAGGTAAGACAGACGTTAAACACAACTGACTTGCTGTCCAGTCCTGCGGGTTTCAGGTGCTCAGAGCCCTGGATCAGAGCACGGCCGTTGGCGCTGGGGCGGCCGGGGAGCTCCGGCTCCACGGCTTGGTGCTTCGCGCGGGGCGCCGGGGCCGTCGCTGCGAGCTGCCCTGCTCTGCGAGGTGCTTCGGGCCGAGCCATGTGGCACAGAGCGCTCCTGTCATCTGCTGTCCCGGCGTGGGCAACCCGGAGCCCTGAGCAGCGCGCGGGGGCCTCTGGGACTAGCTTACTTGACACTGTAAATCATTAAAAGGCCAACATTAGCGAGCTATGAAACTGAAGTTACACAGTGCATCTTTTTGATTTTTTTTTCTGCCTTGCTATGATGACACACATTAAAAAGCACCTTCATGGGGAATTACCATCAAGTCATTTTGGTACTTGCAGAAGGGCCGTGCTTTGTGCTGCAGCAAAACCTAAAAAGATTCTGTGCTGCAAGAGGCCCCATCATCCTTTGGACTTTTCATATGACTAAAATATTCACTGAGGTTTTGAGTAGAACAGCACTTGCCACTTATTTTCTAAGATATTACTTTTATGAATAAGCTTTGATTCCCCTGAAATTCCTAGGATCTCATCTGCCTGCCACTTCTAATGATATAAGTGTGCCTATGTGCATTAAAATGAAATGCTTGGAAGTATAATTCTATTGCTACCTATCTCTGTGGGTTTAAAAAAAATCAAGATTACCCTTTTCCTGCACAAAGCCATGAATCCTTATCTTGCTAGTTACCCTGGAGATTGCTTTCATCTCAGGCTGGGCTTTTCCTAAGGCTTTAGGCTTGACTTTTGCAGTGCTACTGCATATGCACACGTGAAACGGTGTGCGTGAATCTACAGATATAAATATCAAAAGGAAATACCTGTGTTTGCGCGTGCCTCCGCGTCCGTGCTGTTACATGAGCTCTGGAGCGGAGCCGCCGGAGTGCAGGAGTGACACCTGCCGGGGCCGCCCGGGCCGGGAGGGACCGCCACCTCCTGCGGCATCGTCCCGGGGCCCAGAACCAGGCTTAAGGGCTAACGCCAGCCCTCTTAACCCGGTCTCCCCTGCTACGGCGTGGAGGAGGCCGGGTTAGTGGGCTGGGTTTATCCGTGCTTTTCCCGAGAGGAGTAAAGGAGGCTGTCGAATGTAAAGGAGTGAAACTAGACTGGATTAAGGTCACCTTTCTCTGAAGGAGACCATCCGCAGGCAGGTTTCACATAGTTTGAGTAATGCTGCTAATCTGTGCCCGTTGTGGCATCAGCTTTCATTTGCAGTTAGTCTTTAGAAGAGAATTTATGTCGTAAATACACGTTATCTGAATTTTAAAACAATATATAAGGTTGTTTTATCTCTTATCTTGATTTTTAATTTATCTCTCCCAGATTAAATTAATACTGAAGAGACATTGTTATCTCCCTTTCCAGTCCGTATGAACCTTTTTTTCTATATTTTTTTTTCTCATTTGATTTGGATTTGATTTGGTATAGCTTCATAAAACAACAGAATTCTGTATATTCAGGGAGGATTCTTGCATGAAGAAACATGGGAAATTTGTACAAGCTTTTAGGAAAGAAAAGAACTTTTCTCTGGGAAGTTCTTTCTTTGGGCATTTGTAAATCACCATCGGATTTGAAAGAAACGCCTTGGGGCGAGTCAGAGGCGTGGAGCTGATACATGGCCTGCAGAGTGTCATTGTCTTCTTGTTATGAAATCCTGGCCTCTCTGGAATGCCCACGATGACTTTAAAAAATCTGCTTCAATTCCTAAAAGATTTGTAGTATTAAACAAATAAACAAACAAACAACCCCCTCCAAAAAAAAAACTTCCCAGATCATGTGTTTACTTTTATATGTATTCCTTTTATAACTAGGTAGAATTCTTTTAAGACCTTGTGTTTTTCTTTTTTGCCTTTTTGTATAGTCTTTTCATTTTGTCATAAATAACCAAAGATCCTGGAGACACCCTTACTTACTGCTGGAGATCCTTCTCTCCCTCCCTTTCCTTGCTCCCCTGCAAAGTTCAGTCTTAGTGGAGGGCTTCTATGGAGTCGCAGTGAGGATGAGCTGCCTTAAAGGACAGGGTCCCTAAGCAACTTTTTTGGATGATGAGTTGCATCTTTTATGAAAGATTAAATCAAATCCACTAACCATTAACTGTTTTTCAGCCCCTTTTCCCTGTACCATAGGAAATGCTGCTCATTTGATGGGGCTTTAATTTATTTGTGTTGGGCTGATGCAGGATTGTAGGGGCTCAAATTACCCAAAAAGCTCTAGCATTCATAATCGTTTTAACTACAGTTATAGTGTTACACTCGGTTTTTCAACATGCTGAGCATTATAGTTCCAGTCTGGCAGAGCTCTTTCAGTTTAGCCTTAGTTGGGTAAGCTGTTGCATTAAAATCGGTGGGGCTATTCATGCCGTTTAGATTGATGGCACGCTCACGCTCGCTAATGGCCTGGTGGCAGAGTGTCTTGCAGGCCTTGTGGCGTGTCCTCAGAGGTAACGCGCTGCCTCATTCAGGGCTCTGTGCACTGCGCTTTCCTTCCACTAGTTGCCTCTTTGAATGGCTCCATTGAAGTCAGTACGGTTGCTGACTGCTCAGTACCATGACTATATATAGAAATTAGGCTGGTTAAAGACAGATTTAACGTAGAAAATTCTTCTGCAGTCAATTTAGACCATAGTACCTGTGTTGAATTTAAATCAGTTTGAGCACAGTTGGCCTAATATGGAGGTGCACTGAACTCAGCTTTGCTGTTAACTGTACCGTGTAGCAACCTGCAAACCCAAAGCAACTTGAGCTGCAGGCTTGGTTAAACGGCTGGGACTCTATTTATTATGATTACATCGTTACCTGTAGATAACCTGTATATACATATATATATATATATATGTATGTATATGTATAAGAAAATAGATGCTCCATGTGAAATCTCTCTTTTCTGGTCCATTCTTAAAATATATTTGCTTCTTTGTAGGGGAAGGAATAAACAATCAACTAACTTTCTACTAATCTGAATTAAGTAGAGCAGTTGAATTTGGAGTGTCTGATTTCCTCGAGTTGCATGAGGGGGTGTCCTGGGGATTAGTTTTCTTACAAAATTGCTTTCTTTCAGATGACTGTCCTTGGCATCCATTACCCAGGAGTCTGCTCGTTGCACTGCTCTGTTGCTCTGCTGCTACCTCCTAGTCCGTATTTGGCTTCCTTTTTCTGCCTTTCTAAAAGCTTCCTGCTGCTTTCTGCCCTGAGTCGTTGCCCTGCTGCATTGCTGGTAACGTGTCACGACTCCTGTCTCTTGCAGCTTTGGAGATATGTTGTCCTTTACACTGACTGCATTTGTTGAGCTGATGGATCATGGGATTGTATCCTGGGATACATTCTCTGTGGCATTCATTAAAAAGGTAAATTTGTAACCAATGCTGTGTTTTACACTGGTGTGCTTATACATGGCTATATTGTGAGGTGTTTTTTCTTTTCCAGGAATGTTATATTTATTTTATTCAAGTCATTCATTGGTCAGAAGAGGTACAAGGAATTGGGTAAAAAGTGCTATTTCAAATTGTAAATATTTTTAATTGCAGGATCTGGCCCAACTTGTACTGTAGCCAATGGAGGTGTAATGGGATCAGCCCTGTTGTATGAGGCTTTTTACATGAGAAGTTGCTTGCTGGATTACCATGTGGTCTCCTTGTGCACATACCATGCAGTTAAAGCAAAAATGAGTATTTTGATTTAATGCACACTCAAATAAGTAGTACCACATTTCTTGAAACAAATGTTTTCTCTGAGGATATGATAGGACAAGACATGAGTTAGTTTACAATTCAAAGTTATTAATCTGAAATCCACTGAGTTTTATGAAGTTGAACATTGCAGCCCTGAATTCTTGCTGTTGAGGACTGTTGTTTCAAAACAGTATTTCCATCATTTGCAACATTCTGTTTTCTTTTCACACGTACAGGGAAATACACAGATGCAGAAGCCTATTGCCCAGAAGTGCTCTTTAAAGGCAGAGATATAGCAGATTTAAGAATAAAGTTCTTGTTGCTTTTCATTTATTGTCATCTTAAACAGTAACATATTGAAATCAGAGGCTTTTAATTTGCCAGAAGTCTCTTTACACAGAGTTTTAAAACCAGATTAAAGTCAGAATGTAGCTTATGTTAAAGTGCATATATATAATCCCTAAAGATTACTAAAGTTACTTTTGTAAAATGATGGAAGGAACAATGATAGGACTGGTATATCCGGTGGAAAAAATTTTACTGCTTTTCAACAAAATGTGTTGGAGACTTTTAATGTAAAATTGGTTAGAAAATTGCTAGAATCAAACAAAAGAACAAATGTACTTTTGTCAGAAGTGGGAAAAAATTGAAAAGAGAATTAAATTTAAAAAATCAATTTTGGTTATTAAACATGTTATTTATAAGAAAAAAATTATATACAGCTTCAGTGTTAGATCAGATGACAGGTTCAGTTAGTGGTGTATCCTGCTTCCAGCAGTGTCTGGGAGCAAACATTTAGGAAAAGCATGTGAAGAACAATACGTGCCAAATGATCTCTTTAAAGTTCCAGCACTTGTTGAAGGATTTTCTGACTTAAAAAGAAGTCAAGAGCCACCAGTGGACACATCTTCTGTGAATTCACCTAGTTTCTCTCTGAGCCGGTTCATAGTTTTGGTTTCTGCAGCCTCCTTTGGCAGTGATTTCTACCAGTGTACCATGATATTAGCTAAGGCTTTTGTTGTGGAAGTGCTGATGTCCTGTTTTGAAGGCTGGTGGGTAAATAATGAATACTTTTTATCTTTTTGTGGCAAGGAAAATAATAAATCTGTTTTTAACTGACTTCATGAGATACAAGGTCAAGCACAGAACATGTTAACAGGTTATTCTAGCAAATGATAAGTTTAAGATACTTGCAAAAATCAGTTGAATTCGGTCTGCTTTGGTGACTCAAGTTATTGTTGCCCAACGCTGTCAACATGCATTGCCTGTCTGCTTAAAAAATAAGGAAAAAAAATACCTCAGCAAGTATCAGAGTAAGTGAGCTTGAAAAGCTTAAAATTTAAAGAAACTAAGTAGTGGACCAGAAATCGATCAAGAGGAGGAATGGAAAAGGAAACAGAAGAAGAAAGAATGTCAAAAATACATCTTCATGGGGTCTCTGTGCAGGCAAGGGATGAACCTAATGGAAAGTCATGAAGGATGTTCGGACTGTACCCCTCTGATATGAAGCTGTGGCTTTTCCCTCTCTTGCTACTCTTGCTGTAGCTTTTGGCAGGCCTTTTTTGAGGTTGCTGCTGGGCTGACTCAGGTTGCTGGCAGGCTGGATAAGGGAGCTGAAAAGTGTCTACTGACTGAAGGGCAACTCCGCAGTCCTGCTGGAAGTGCTTCTGCCCTGCAAGTTTTCCTTCATGTTGAATGGCAGCCAAATTGGAGTGGGGAGTTTGTTGATTTTTTTTTTCCTCTCAAACAGATATGATATACATATTCTTATGATATGCAGGATCCTATCAATAGCTTTTTCTTTTGACAATGAAGTTTTTTTAGGCTGAGCTGTCATAGATTCTTAAAGGCTTTGAATGGTCAGTTCTTAGAAAATCTTGGGGTAATCAGGCTTCAGAATAAAATAGGTAATCTGTAGTTTTTGCAGGAGGAAAGATAAAGGAGGAGAGAGGTAAAGGTGTAACATTGGTTGAGACATTTAAAAACATCTTGGCATTATTTATATAATTGCTGTTTCGTAACTGATGCAGACTCTCAACCCTGACATATTGTTTACTCTGCCTTCTAAAATTTGCTGTGCAAGAGAAGGGGGTGGCAGCAGGGAAAATCTCTCTCAAAGCTGTCACTAGATCCTCACTTAAAAATAAGATTCACTTGAAAAGTTTACTATGCAAAAGGACTTCACAGAGAGCAACAGTGCATCAATTTTTTTTGTATGCCTTTACAAAATGCAACATGACAACAAAGTGTTCCAGGTGAATGACTAATGAATAGCATGGTTCAAGATCAAATCTTTTCTTTCACTGTTTTTCTTTTTTTTTTCCCTTCTGTGTTTTTGTTTTGTTTTATTTTTCCCTGTACTTGGGGTGATGCCTGAGAGGAAGGGAGCCTGGAAGATCTGGTTTAGTTTTCTACATGTTTTCTGTGTGCCTTTACTCTACATAGGTCTTGTTTGAGCACAGCACTGACGAAAGACCTATAAAGACTTCAAAAATGGCAGGGAGTTTAGCATCCAGCCACTTTTGTTGTATGTGGCCATATATGTGCAGTGCAAGTGCTTAAAGTTACAAGTGTTTTGCTGGGCAAGTGATTTATCCTTAGTGAGGATAATTCCTGGTAGGAATATATTATATTTCAGTGAAACATTTATATTAGCGGCAAGGAGGGAAGGAAATTATGGTAAAAGTAAAGTATTTGTGCTGCACAAAGTCCAAATCACACCTGTTGGTGCTCCTAAAGAGGATAATAAGAGTAGTCCAAGGATGAAGGACACGCTCTAGACGTGCAGCGTTCTTGTGCACAGCCCGTCCGTGCCTGCCTGGTGGCTGGGAGGCACCTGGAGAGCGTTTGGCTCAGGGCGTGAGCAGTGTGTAGGTGCTCTGTGCTGTCCATATTGTGGCACGTCTGGACATCTGGCAGCCCTGACAGCAGGGCATCAAAAACATCTGCATTATCATTAAAAGAGGTAGGGCAGTCCGATGCTGCTAAGAGCTTATCACTTAGAACAGTACAGTGTGCATGGCATCCTGATGTAAACGTTATTTATGGTCAGGACTTGCAGGCAACAGAGTTTGAAGGCCCAGAGTGAAAAAGGCTGAGTTCCTCCTCTCCTCCTATTTTCCATTTGTACATGATTTATTCTTTATTTCTCTGTAAAGCCAGCCTGTTATATTCAGTATAGCATGTTCTTATTGTGGTAATGCAAAATGAGTAGCAGAAGAAGCGACAGCAATGCAATAAATTAGAGGATAAATCTTTCCCTCTTGCCTCGTAGTCTCCAGCCAAAGTTACAAAAAAAAAAAGGTGTTCTACTGTTTCAGCACTATTCAGAATGTCACAAATAGTGCAAAATAATGTCTCTGGGCACATGCTAATATTTAACTGTGAATTTTGCAGTCAGCTAGGCAGTTTTTCCAAGCATAGGGCATGACTTTTTTCCCCCAAGAGGCAAAAAGTTTCCAAGTG